CCAAATGTTACAATAATTATCCTTGCACACAAACCCTTGTACTTGTAGGCAAGTCTAATGGGATAAATTCCTTAAAGTAGAACTCCTGGGTCAAAGAGAATGAACCTTTACAACTTTGATAAGTTCTGCCAAATTGTCCTTTAAACAGGTTGTATAAATTTATGTTTTCACTAACAAGAGTTTGAAAATGCCCCTTTCCCAAGGCTCTAACATCAGAAACGTTCAATGTTTTAAATTTTTGACAATTTGATTACGAAAAATATTATCTTTTTTACCTGTGCATTTCTCTGATCACCAATATAGTCAAGGATCTGTCCTTCTTCTATTAGTCATTTGTATTTCTTCTGTGAGCTGCCTGATTATATACCCTTTGCTCAATTTCCTAGGACCCAATTAACCGTTCTCCCTACCTCTGGCTTCAATACCGCTACCCTAGGCCACCGCCTATATCTGCAGAATTGTCATCAAACACAAATCTGATCTTGTTCCCCCAATTTACAACTCCATAGTCCACAAAATTAAGTCTTTTACATGGCACCTTCAAGATCCTCCACAGTAACGACGATAATGCAAATACAGTAATATCAACAGAAAACATTTCCTGAATGCATTATCTCATTCAATCCTCAGAACAACCCTTTGAGGTAGTAATTATTATCATCCCATTTTAGAGAAAAAGAAATTGAGGTACACATCATCACCCACACTTGGTGTCTTGTCAATCCATCCTTATTTCAGCCATTCCCAACTGCTTGTATCACTGTGCTCCTCTGCAGACTTCTGCGCTGTGGACATCCTTAGCCTGCACTGCCCTGCCTTAGGCCGTCCCTTCTGTTTGTTAGGTGAACAATGGCTAATCTTTTTAGACCCAGTTCAGGAAAGGCCAAAAGCTAGAGGAACTGTATTTCAAAACATATGATCAGATTTGGAAGTGATCTTAAAGAGACATCTAGTTTCATAATCTACAGACTGTGGATTCCAATTCTCATGAGCGGTTCAAAGCCAGGATTTTTATAAAACTGAAATAAAATAGAACAAAAAATATCAGAGAGCAGGGAGTGAAACTATGTATTGTTTCAAGGGCAGGCATTGTTTTGTGAAGGTTGTGTATACCAGGTCCCAAAGTAAAATGTGTTTTTTACTGTGGGTAGAGGTCCAACCACCAAGCCACACTCCATGCCAGAAGCCACAATGATCTTTCTAAATCTGATTATGTCAGCCTCTTACTTTGAAATTTTCTGTGTTTTCCTATTTCCGTTAAGATTAAAGACAAAACAAAACACCTCACAATGCCTACCCAGGGCCCTGCTGGCCTCCCGTTCTTCTGAGGTCATCCCAAGCCTTTGAAGGTGCTGTTCCTTCTGCCTGTATACTCTCCCCTTGTCCTTTACATCTTCTAAGTCTCATTAATCCTTCAAGATTCTGCTCAAATATCACTTTCCCCAAGAAACCTCTGCCTAGGTTTCTTGATCTAGTCTAGGTTGCTAGACTAGGTCAGATCTCCAAATTATATACTCTCAATGCATACTGGACTTTTCCATACGAGCACTCATCACAACCACAATTAAATAATTATCTAACTGCTGCCTCCTTCCTTAGTCAGTTGGGTTCCTTTTGTGTTTTTCTAGCAACTCACTTTTGCTTTGCCATTCATAGGAAGCACTCAGCCAGTACACTCAGCTTCATAGGAAGCACTCAGCCAGTAGAAGAATGAGTCTCCTGTCCAAAGCAAGAATCATCTTCTCTCAGAAACCTTTCGTGACATCAGTCCTTACCCCATACAATGGACTCCTAATCATCATTGCACTAATGAGGGGTACCATGTACAAAGCCAGTGTAATATGCTAGCCATGCAAATGCTTTGCCTAGGACAGCTCATTTTGGTCTCTCACAACCCTGAGAAAAAGGTATTATTTTCCATACTCTTACAGTTGGCGAAATGGAAGATTTAGAGAGTTGTTCAAAGTTAAATGCAACCACTAAATGGCAGGGCTATCTGAACACCATTACTAGCACCTATACTATTGTATTGCATTTGTTTGTCTACACATATCTGCTGCTCTCTACTAGATTATGTTCTTTGGAGGTAAGGACCAAGGCACAGGCACATAGTAGAGCCTCATTAAATATACTTGCTAAATGAATAAAGGTAGGTGGGAAAAGGCAAGAGTTCAGAGCAGAGCACTTTATAACATCATAAAATAACCTAGGTGGAGAGACCTATCCCCTTCCAGTATAGGAATCTCCTAGAATTCCTAAAGAGTGTGATTTGCTATACCCCCTGCTATATGGCCCATTCTCTTGTTAGTTAACTCTAGTTGCTAGTTCAATTAGATTCTGCAAGCATTTATTAAGCATCTACTACATGCAAAGCTCTATGCTGGGGACTGAAGATATATGTAAACCTAACTAGAGGTAGAGGAGCTAGCATTTGCGTGGCTAGCATATTACACTGGCTTTAGTATATTACACTGATTTGGTACCAGGAGGAGATGGCCACGTGCCATAAAGCAGAGTGTAACGTGGCCATAATACGAGGCTATACCCAAGGTGTAAAGAATGAGCCATGAGAGCCCAGAGAAAAAGCAAGTAATTCCTACTAAGAAATGAAGGTTGACTTCACAGCATTCCAGCCTGGCTTTTTAAAGGATGTGTAAGCAAGTTATTTAATCTGAACATATATTTCCCCAACATGGTGAGGGTACAGAGTGGGGATAGTTGATGAAACCCACTTCTGCCTTCTGGAGGGACACAGCAGTGCAATCCTCTCCATCTTAACAGTCCAAAATAGTCAAGGATAGTTACCTTGTTCTGTCTGATTTTTCTATTTTTGAGGCAAATATTTCTGTTTCTTTCACTGGGTCTCAGGATAGAATATGAACCCACATAGAAGGCCTTTCCTCCTCCCTCCATGTACTAAAATTTTATCTCTTTCAAGGCCAAGGTCAATGCCACCTTCTCCATCATATCCCCTAATGATTACAGAGGAGTGGTATCTTATCTGCATAAACACAAGTGCATACAGTAAAAATTACTTTTGAAAACGCCTACAGTCACCCATAATATACAGTATATCTGGCTTTCTGTATGTAACCCAACACAACCAGTTTTTCCCCGGTACTAAAACAAACTATGTACCTTTGGTTTAGAGCTGACAAAGACTCTCCTTGATCCAACTTTTGTTAGGCTCCCCTGAGCCCTCTTTTTGACTAGCCCTTGACCTTGCCTCCCCAAACCCTTCATTCTTAGGCCCATCTAGTTCAGTTTTAGCAAGAATCTGAAGTCATTTTAGTGAGACTCCTCATCCTTGATGCATGACCATGCTTGATATCTGATAAAGTTCCTCATTCCCACCTTGGATGTACAAGTCCTTGGTCTGCCTTTCACAAGAGTCTTGTTAGGTCAGGTGAGCAAAAATCCTCCCAGTCTTTATGGCTCCTCTTAGTAATTTTCTATATATTGATCCCCTTACTCTGTTCACTGGTCATAAATCCCCAGCTGTCTTTGCTGTATTCGGAATTGAGCTCCAACTCTCTTCCCTATTGCAATAGCCCTATTACCACAGCCTTGAGTCAAGTCTTCCTTACTACTTTAACCAATTACTTTTTCCTTAACAGAGCCAAAAGAAGTAGGTGACTTGTTTCACAGCCATGTTGTACTCTGTGGACGTAGGTGAATTCACATACCTGAAGGGCTGATACCATGTGACGCAAATGCTCGCTCTTTCCTCCAGCATTTTTCTTATCATCCCTAGTATAATCCTCCATTTACCATGTACTATCGTATATTGTGTACATGTATATTGCATGCATATCATAGCTTCTGATGCTCCTCGGGGACTGTGTTTTTCATCTTAAGAGTCCCCATAGTGTCCAGCATGGTGACATAAAATAGGGCCTCATCATCTTTGCCCCTTCTCAGATGTTGTTCAAGCCTGTTAATATCCCTCTCAAAATGTGATATCCATTAGTGAAAACGATATTCCAGACACGATTTGACCAATATAGAGAGTCTCTACCCTCTCCCCCCGACCCCAAATCACACTTTTATTAGCTCAATCTTAGACTTCAGCTGTTTTAGCAGAAATATCTCACCCATACTGGCCCACTGATCTGTTAAAACCCAAGGTCTTTTTCGGGAGGTCTGTTATTAAGCCCAGATTCCCACTACCTTATGTTTATTTGTACAAGCCTTTACGTTTACCCTTGTTAAACTGTTTCTTGGTTTTCCATGCAAGGCAGCAGCCTGTTGATAAACGTGTTTTTGAAGCACAATTCTGTGGTCTGACAGAAGACTCTTTGAGTTTCACTTGGGTGGTAACAGGAAAAGGAGACCAAACAGCCTTCAGCCACAGGGTGAAAGGGAGCCTCCAGAAGGCTGGCCCTGCCCCTGGGTCTCCATGGAGAAGCCACAGGTGCTAATGGAGGTTTGGTACCTACGTAGTTTGTGCCCTTTTCTTCTTTCCAGAGCTTCCTGAGCTTCTCCCTTCTACCCTGGGCCTCTTCAGGTCTCCCAGATAGCGGACCCCCGAGGCAGCAGCGCCTCAACAAGGTGGTAGAGGTCCCCGTAAAGCCCGCGCCCGGGCTCGCAGCCCCCAACAGGCAGCCTCTTCCCCGAGCTCCCGCGATGCCTGGGCCCCCTCTGGAGGCTCCCCTCCCCCACCGCGAGCGCTGTCCCTCAGCCCCCGCGAGCGGCGCGTGGACGCGGGACCCAGCTCCCAGCCCCGGGTTCCGGCCGCCTGGGGCGCGGGCAGCGCGGGAGGCTCTGCGCGGGGACTTGGCGCAGGGGCCCAGCTCGGGCAGAACGGGCGGGCTCCGGGCGGCGCTGGTGGGGCGTGGGCGAGGCGCGGGAGGGGAGGTCTGCGCCGCCCCAGGACTGGCCTGAGCCGCTGGGGGAGCTGCCTCCCTCTGCGCCCCGGGGCGGGAAATGTGGCCCCCGCGCAGGGGTCGTGGCAGCAAGCTGGGCCCGCGATTCGGGGCCGGGAGTGGGCCGGCCCGTACCTGATCTTGAAGTCGCGGTTATAAATGGTCCGCAGCCGCTCGCGATCTGTCTCCATGTCCAGTCCCCGAACGACCAGGAAACTCTCGAAACACTGGCCCGCCTCCCGGAGCTGCCGGCAGCTGAACTTACTGGGCATCGCGGCGGCGGCTGCGGCCCAGGCAGGAGGGTCCGTGGAAATGAAACTGAAAGTCGCCGCTGCAGCTGGAAGTTGGCGGCCCTGAGATGAGGGTGCAGCAGGGGGGAAGCCCCCTAACTCTGACCCCTGATCCTGCGGGTTCCCTTCTCCCCGCAAGGCTTCTCTCCTCCGTTCTTTTCTTACCTGAGCTTTCCCTTCGGTTTCTTCGTCCTATCCCCTCCCCCTCTTCGCATTAACTCTTTCCTAAAGCGTCTGACCCCTCCCTCAGGGCCCTCCCCTTACCCCAAGCTCCCTCCCCTGGCTTCTAGCCAGTATCAGAACGTGGCTACCGCTTGGGGCCTTCTGAACAGCCCGGGACGACCTACGAGCCTCAGCTAGGGCTACCCTCACGCCCACCCTCCAGAGCCTCGGGACTCAGTGAAAAGCAGGAGAGCAAAGGGCAGGACTGGGACCTAGGTCGGCAGCAGCCGGACTGGGAAAGCTCATCCAGCGCCTCCCCCAGCCTTCCAGGGGCATAAACCCGTGGAAGCAGGCGACACGCCCCCTCCCCCATTTTCCCTTCTTGGGCTTTCAGACGCAACGTAGTTGGCATAAGGGTCAAAGAAGTTTGGGGAAAAGAACCCAGAGTCTCTGAGATAAAGGTGTGTACGTGTGTGGGAGGGAGGGACAAGGGGCTCTGCTAGGATAAACAGTCATTGCTTTTCTCTGCCACATCGGCTTCATTACGTGGAAAGGCTGGTGACCCTTAGCCCTGAGCCACATAAATTTGGGCGCTTCATTGCATTCCAGTCTGTATTGTTCTTCAATTTTTACTAGTATATAAGGTGGCCTCTTATATTTATCAAAATACTAGCATCTTGGGCATAAGGGACTGTTAGGCAATAATAAGTGGTTAATAGTGACAGCATCAGTACCAAGAAGAGAACTTGGTGTGCTTCAGAAGACTGTATAAACAAATTTAAGGAGGTGGGGCTACAATAACAAACCTTTGCATCTATTTTTTCCTGCAGAATGAAATAACACACACACTAGAATGGGACAAGCTTAAGTTATACGACAAAGTTTTAAATCAAATACATCACTTTCAAATCAATCAAAGCTAGCGTTGTTCTCCATAGTAGTTACCAGCAGGAAGCCACACACTCAATCTAAGGAATTGAAGAAAAGTCCAGAACCCAGGTCATACTCCAGCTGGGCTACCCTTGTACCTTCTCTCAGGCCAACCACCAAATGAAGCCAGGAATAACAGGCTTTAGCAACAGGAAATGCAATGTCAGTGGGAACCAAAGCTACAGGGATAGGGAAAATAGAGCAGAGGAAAACATCTTAGAAACTTATCATTGCAAAGTAGAGGAAGAAACTAGAAAAGCAGCCAAAGATTTTACCTTTTTTTCTCCCTCAATGTCCTGATGAGGTTCCAGAAGAGTAGAGAGGGTGAACTCCTCAAAACTGCCTTGTTACTTACCATCTCAAAACCCTACCATCAACCATACTCAAACTGAATGCCTGGGCTCCATTCTGACCAGCAAATCTAAATCCATATTATTCTTGAATACAATCTCCCCTCTTCTCTGGTCAGGTTTATCTCTTGGATGTTCTCAAAACGTACACAAAAGGCTACAGTATAGTAAAAACTTGGGTAAAAGTGTGATGCTATGTGGCTTTGTTTACAATGGAACTTCTCTAAACAAGTTTCATCAGGAAAAATCTACTTCACATAGGGTTCTAATTGTTATTGTCAGAGCTGTTTGAACCAGAGCAACTTCATCTTGAACAGGGGCTGGGTAAAATGAGACTGAGACCTACTGGACTGCATTCCCAGGAGGTTAGGCATTCTAAGTCACAGGATAGGACAGGAGGTCAGCACAAGATACATGCCATAAAGACTTTGCTGATAAAACAGGTTGCAGTAAAGCAGCTAAAACCCACCAAAACCAAGATGGTGAGGAGACCTCTGGTCGTCAGATGTGAGATTTGTTTCTGTGCTCAGAGCTTGTATATACTCTGTGCATTTATACATACCCTATCTGTTCAAAGCAGAAATTTAAGTTAGCTCAACTTAACCTATAGGACAATCCAGCTTTGTTCTGTATTTACCAATCTTCCTTTGATTTTTCACATAGTAGGTAGCTGAAAAACGAGACAATGGTCAAAAGCATTTGGTTTACTTGGTAGTTTCATAGAAACTTGTAAACTCATAAGTTGGCATTCAAATATTAATCATTCTTTGAGTTTGAAGAGAATATGCCAAGTTTGCCAAGTATCCTATGAACCTAGATGGGTCCAGCACCAAAGTCTTAGATTATAAAAGACAACAGGCATTGGAACTAGGCAAGCAATAGAGGAATAACCACTGAGGCTCAGATGAAACAGTCTTCAGCAGTGTCATTTCAAACCCAAATATAGGAGGGAGGCCTCACAAAAAACTCTTTTCCAGATGGCTGGGAAATCTTTGCCCTGGGGTACAACAGGCTGATTTCAGCAGCTTGTGGTGATAAAATAGATACAATTCAAGCAAATATTCTACTAAGGGAGGTTGAGAAGGGGGCGGGAGGAGGAGAGGGAGTGTCTGCCAGACTTGGTAAGGAGGGTTGACTTCCTCCCAACCAAGGTCTTTAGATAGTTAAGGGGTTAAGAATTTTTTTTAAAAAGTCTAAGCTAAAGAATCAATGGGATAGCAGGGGCAGGATGAGAGAGTTAATAAATTAAAAGCAAGAATGTTTCAATCTATTTGCATTACAAATAGAACGGAATGCAGCTAAATATTCCTCAAAAAGGTGGGAATTTGACCTGGCCTTGGATGGAGTACTTGAAGCACAAAAACTCCCTCTGGTTCTCTTTTGGGAACCAGGATAAAAGCCTCTCCCACAAGTCTGTAGCTAGGCCAACTAAGGAGAGGAAAGCAGCATTTCAAGATAACGCAATGTGAAATATTACCAAGTTTATGGCAGGGATTCTTTCATTTCTCCTTCTGCCTAGTGACTACAACCATACTTGGGGCCTTGCTTTCTGAATGACAGGTACAGAAGACAAGTACATTTTTCCCTTTGAAACATGGGTAGTCTTTGAGTGAAGAACGGTATGATCCATAGACATTGCTTATGCTTTAAAAACCTGTTCTTTGCAAATCTGTGGATATTCACTAAGTCTATAATAGTTGAAGGTAGAAACCAATTTCAGAAACCCTAAACATTCTCAACATAAGCTCAAATACAGCTGAATATCTTACCTTGAGAACCAAGGCTGAAGCGATGAATCAAAAAGGAGAGACTCAGACAATTTTAGAACAAAACAGGTATATTTCTATTAGACTACCTGATACAGAAGATAGTGTGGTATGGATGGATAGTATGAATGACAAATAATACAAATATATTTTATTTGAAATAAACAAAAATGCATACACAGCTCAATGGGTCACCTGGAAACAAACTGTTGCTTGACTGTATTACTGAGCAGAAACAAAACGGAAGCACAAACACCTTTCTTTTTTGACATGTATCTGGAGATAGGTAGGAAGACACTACTTGGTTTTTTAAAAAACTGACCTTCTCTTAAGGCCTGGTCATAGAAGTGTAAACAATGTAAATGAATCCACCATTACCAGTTGTCATATCATATCTATGTCACCTGTGTATTCTGAGATTACACACATACCTGCCAATATACCTGGGAAAGGTTATTTTATCACAGTTACACTTGAGTTCTTGGCAGGCAGGACTGAGGAAGAGTAATTTGAAATAAGTTTTACATCCTATTTAGAAGAAATCACTAGTATTTCCTTAAATAACAGGTTACAATAGAAAGATACTGCCTGGAAGTTATCCTTTTCACTTTGGTTCATTTTTAGTTTTTGTTTATGATTTACATAGCTGTTTAATTCATTTGCTTATAGTACAATCCTGCCATAAAGTATTAAAGCACAAGATACCTATTATTCCTTCAACATCTGCATTTTTCAAGTTTTATACTCTACATCCACAGTACGTCAGCAGTTCTTGAATGTTTAAAAAAATAAATGGGTAAAATGCTTCTAAAAATGCAGATGTCTATAACTACAATGGTACTAAGATGGGAGGGAGACAATGAGAGAAGGGATAAAAGCAACATGTTCATGTGCAGGGAATGTGGTTCAAGTCTTTGGATTTAAAAACAAGTTCCCCAGAGAAGCTGGCACTTCCTTTGCCCTCCAAAAAGGACCTGAAAAGTCCCAATCCAAACTTTGGAAAATTACAGTTATGAGATGCAGTAAATGATGATCAAAGCAGTCAGAGGGAGAAGGATGAATGTGTCTTCCATTTAGCTAGAGATTGTAGCATAGCCTCTTTAGGTGTTGGTGGATCAGTAAAAACCACTGAAGTACCAGAAGTGCTTGGAAGGATAGGGGTAGAAAGTAATGACCATAATACCTTGTCTAAATCAGTAGCAGGCTTCATGGCTAGGAAACTTTAGTAAAATGTTATTAGGATAGATCACTCTCTCACCAACATTAAATGTGGCAGAATTAACCAAAAAAAAAAAGAGGAAAAAAAAAAGATTTACACGTAGATATAGCAATAACAGAAAATTACAAGGCAGAAAACACAAAAGAATCAAGATAACGCTACAGGTTCAACAGTATTTCATGAGGCTAGAAAACCGGTTAACTTTGAAAGCCCTAGCAAAATATCACTCTTGTTTATAAATCACTTATTTATCATAGGACCACACGTTGAATCCTTGTCTTTCCACATACTGAAGAATCCTACATTCAGCCTTTAAGCATTCTGCATTTCTTTGCCAATCTTGTAGCTGAGTATCTTGTTCCAGTCGATTTTGGTGCGGGTAACTGGAAGCTGCCGGCGCAAGGCCTTGAATGTGGTATCTGACATTGTTTGATAGTTTTCACTAATTGCTGTCTGCAATAGATAATTGAAGATGAGTTGCTTGAACAGAAATGGAGCTGGTTGTGAACAGAAAAGTAACGCTATAGTCAAAGGATATGCTTGAGTCCCCTATGAAGGACAGACAGGATATATTATTTTCAGTGAGCTCCTCTCCAATCTCTGAATTTGGTCAAGTTCACCTATATTATTTCTTAAGTGAGAGCTACAGTCCCAAGCAATCCTCAAACCCTGACTGTAAGCAGAATGCCAACTTGGAAGGTCTGCAAAGTCTCCACATTTAGTAAAACTGAAGAACATATATATTTATATTAAAGGACACAGGCCTAACAAAATATGTTAACAGCAAAATAATAAGATAGTAGAACTAGGAAAATTAGCTCCAAATCTTCTTACCTGATACTCATTTTCTGCATTCTCTATGATTTTAATAAACTCCTTGGCAGTTTGGGCTTCATTCTAATGGAAGAAGGAAGAGGGGGAAAATCAGATTTTTTTAAATGTATAAGCAGTAAGATCCTGAAAAGTAAGTCCATCTTAACTAACATTTGTATAACAATTTCTAGTTTACCAAGCATTCCCATGCCCACTACCCTCCTTTGATTCTCACAACTCTACGGGAGACTATGTTATAATCGTAACCCCCATTTTGCAGATGAGAAAACAGAATCCTCTTAAGCAACTTGACCTCTTAAGCAATTCTTAAGCAACAGAATTATACAGCTTTTGAATGATAAAGATGGGATCTGAAATTAGGTCTTCACCAAAAAAACCCATGCTCTTTCCACTCTACCACAGTATGCCCAAAAGACATCATCAAGTCTTGAAACCTTGACGCCTTGAAAATATTTCTGGTTTAAAATGGTATGAACAATGCCCTTGGACACATCAGTCATATACATAAGCTCACATATGCCTTTATTTGCCACTTATGATGTTAAACTAGCCAATCACATTTTGTACTACGTGGTTCAAGTATAAAATGAAATGAATCTCCCTCTTCCTGTTACCATTAAGTACAACAGAATTAAAGGGAAGAGGGTAGGATTTAATGTCTAGAGCAGCAGTCCTGAGACAGACTATGAGGTCAAAACTATTTTCTACTTTCATAATAATACTAACACAAAGTTATTTGCCTGTTTCACTTTCACTCTGTAATGTGTGTATGATGTAATTTCCTAGAAACTACATGATGTGTGATGACTTTATCACTGTGAGGGATAATGAAAGGTATGAAGCAGAGGCCGGGTGCAGTGGCTCATGTCTGTAATCCCAGCACTTTGGGAGGCCGAGGCAGGTGAGGTCAGTAGTTCAAGACAAGCCTGGTCAACATGGTGAAACCCTGTCTCTACTAAAAATACAAAAATTAGCTGGGCGTGGTGGCAGATGCCTGTAATCCCAGCTACTCAGGAGCCTGAGGCAGGAGAATCACTTGAACCTGGGAGGTGGTGGCTGCAGTGAGCCAAGATAGCGCTCCAGCTTGGGCAACAAGAGTGAAACTTCATCTCAAAAAACAAACAAATAAAAAACAACTAATATCACAATAAAATCAGCCATCTTTTAATAAACCAGACATTACACAATTTGTGAAGACAAAGACTAATGCCATTCTTCCCACTATTTTTTTTTCTTTTGATTTGGAAAATATATTCACAAAGATGTTACTTATTAACAAGTAATGGGTTTGTTATCATTAGTTTTAATTAAGTAATATTTTTAACACTTCTTAGTTTTCTTTCTTTCTGAGACAGGGTTTCACTCTGTCACCCAGGCTGGAGTGTAGTGGCACGATCTTGGCTTACTGCACCCTCAACCTTCCTGGGCTCAGGTGATCCTCCCACCACAGCCTCCCAAGTAGCTGGGACTACAGGCACTCAGCTGAGTTTTACATTTTTTTGTAGAGACGGGGTTTCACCGTATTGCTCAGGCTGGTCTTGAACTCCTGGGCTCAAGCTTTCACCTGCCTCGGCCTCCCAAAGGGCTGGGATTATAGGTGTGAGCCACCACTCCCAGCCAACACTTCTCAGCTTTAATTTTTAGTGAGGTAAACATTGATAGATATAACACATAAACAAAAACTCTTTGGGGGTACTCAATAACTTCTAAGAACTTAAAGAAGTAATGAGACTATCAAAGAAATACAAGAACAAATCATGTCTCTTCTTTCAAGGTATAGAACACAATAGTGGCCAGGCACGGTGGCTCACACCTATAATCCCAGTACTTTGGGAGGCTGAGGCAGGAGGATCACTTCAGTCTAGGAGTTTGAGACCAGCCTGGGCAACATAGAGACCTCATCTCTACCAAAAATAAAGAAATTAGCTGGGCATGGTGGCATGCACCTGTGGTCCCAGCTACTTGGGAGGCTGAGGTGGGAGGATCGCTTGAGCCTGGGAGCTTGAGGCTGCAGTGAGCTGTGATCATGTCCTTCCTTGCACTCCAGCCTGGGCAACAGAGTGAGTTCCCGTCTCAAGTAAAATGACAACACCAAACCACAAAACATTCTAATTGAATACTCCTAAAAATGTTTTTCTCTAATGATATAAATGCAGCCCTATAGGATGCAGTTTGGTAAACTTTCCTTGCTCTTGGTATTTATTGATTGAAGGTATTGCTGTCCTTGAGTGACTATTACAATTGAGAGACAGCGACTAAGAAGGACATTTGTCTAAAGCCATAATCAATATTTTGAGTCAAAAACTGTGAACTAATATATGCTGGTTGGTGGTAAGAGGCACTAACAGACGTGGCCAAAATCAAAACATTAAAAGCAAACTGAATTTCTACTGGCAGAATCAGCACTCAGGATCAAAACTAATTTTTTAAAGAAAGATGAGACATGAGTAAGACAGACACTAAATATTCCATACTCACTGAAACAGTTAGTGAATCCTGTACATCTTTATGACTAACCAACTGAACATTGCCATCTTCATAATAGTGAACCTGTGTGAGACAATGTATGAATCTTTTTAGGGCAAGTTCATAGAGAAACCTGCTACTTAGGACACAAATCCATGCTTTAAGCTATCTTTAAGTTGATGAGCCTTTTTACCAATTCTGAACAAATAATTAATATAAGCAATGGTAATTCACAATGGTGGTTAATAAATTCACAGAACACTTAAGTTTAAGAATGCTTTTTCCTTAGCAGGGAAAACTGATTATTAAGTTCAACAAACATTTATTACATGCTTTTCACATTCTAAGCACTGTGCTAGGCATTGTGAATACAAAGGTAAATAAGATCCCACTCTTAACAATATTAAAATAATTAAAGTCATTAAACATTAGTTTTTCTCTGTGAAAACCAAGGAGTTTCAATGGATCCTAATACCTAATATTTGGCACATTTCTCCATATACATTATTATCAATATTGGTAAGCAGAACTGACCAGGTACAGGAAAAGTCTCATTGAGGGTTAAAGACAGGACAGAAAAACAAATATTTTATTGGTAAATCAGATATTTTTAAAAAGATAGAAGTAGTTCTGAATATGTAAGGTAAAGTGAAGTGCCAGGCTGGAGTGCACTAACCATACTGAAATGGCTATCATGAATAAGAAATGTGACAGTTAGAAAAGTAGTAAAAATTTCAGCTGCATAAAGACTTCAGCTGCGTAAAGACTTCACTATTACTTATATTCCCTCATTCAATCTTTTTTTTCTTTTTGAGTCTTGTTCTTGTCACCCAGGCTGGAGTGCAATGGCACGATCTCGGCTCACTGCAACCTCCGTCTCCCAGGTTTAAGTGATTCTCCTGCCTGAGACTCCCGAGTAGCTGGGATTACAGGCACCCGCAACCAAGCCTGGCTAACTTTTGTAATTTTAGTAGAGACTGGGTTTCACCATGTTGGCCAGGTTGGTCTTGAACTCCTGACCTCGTGATCCGCCGACCTCGGCCTCCCAAAAGTGCTGGGATTACAGTCATGAGCCACTGCGCTAGGCCACCTCATTTAATCTTTACAGAAACTCTTATGAGATGAGGACTACAACTAACCCTATTTTATAGCTGAGGAAACTGAAACTTGCCTTGAAGCGGTTATTAAACAATAACTTATTCATGTTCACACACCTAATAAGAGGAGAAGCTAGGATTTGAATTAGGTCCAATTCCAGAGCTATACAACATATGCAGTACTTCCCAATGCTATGTTTTGTCAAAAAGTTAGAAATTCCTTGATCTGGGGAGAAATAGTGTCTCAGCAGGGGCTTACTCTTTGTGGATATCATTAGAAGGGCATAACTAACAGCCAAGCTTCATCTAGGCAGAAACCTATTTGCAACAAAAAGACTTCCCTGGACAACATAAACCCCCTACATATCCTTGTTTAAAGGACAAAAACAAGTATCTTCTTTTTTTTTTTTTGAGACAGCGTCGTGCTCTGTCACCCAGGCTGGAGCACAGTGGCCGATCTCAGCTCACTGCAACCTCCGCCTCCTGGGTTAAAGCAATTCTCCTGCCTCAGCCTCCTGCATAGCTGGGTCTACAGGCGCATGCCACCATGGCCAGCTAATTTTTGTAGTTTTAATAGAGATGGGGTTTCACCGTGTTGGCCAGGATGGTCTCGATCTCTTGACCTCATGATCCCCATGCCTTTGCTTCCCAAAGTGCTGGGATTACAGGCGTGAGCCACCGTGCCTGGCAAATATCTTCTTTAATGAGGACAAACAGCTGGCTCTATCCAGATGGGCAAGAGAAGCTAGACTTTCCATACCCTCTCTAAACCCTGAAATTTTACCTTTTGGCTTTCTAAGAGGTTAAAGAAGGAAAGACAATATAAGAATCCACTGAGAACAGGCATGGTGGCTCACATATTTAATCCCAGCACTTTGGGAGGTCGAGGAGGGCAGATCACTTGAGGTCAGGAGTTCGAGACCAGCCTGACCAACATGGTGAAATCCCTTCTCTACTAAAAATACAAAAAAAAATTAGGCGGGCATGGTGGCGGGTGCCTGTAATCCCAGCTACTTGGGAGGCTGAGGCAGGAGAATCACTTGAACCCAGGAGGCAGAGGCTGCAGTGAGCTGAGACTGCGCCACTGCACTCCAGCCTGGGCAACAGAGCTAGACTGGAATCCACTGGAGACAAGATGAAAATTCACTGGAAAAGAAGGTGATAATAAGAACCACTAATACTTACATGCAAAATCAGAATAGCAAAGATGTGGGCAAAAAGACTGGGCTCAATGATGATGACATATAAAGGTTAAAATCCCAATAGATAAGAATATTAAAATACAAGTAGGTCACAATCAAATATCAGTTTTGTTTTTTTTCATTAAAAAACTAGAGGTTCAGGGACTGAAAAGAACATTCAGAAGGGGAATGAGCCAGGTGCAGTGACTCACAAATGTAATCCCAGCACTTTGGGAGGCCAAGGTGGGCAGATCACGAGGTCAGGAGATCAAGATCATCCTGGCTAACACAGTGAAACCCGGTCTCTACTAAAAATACAAAAAATTAGCCCGGCGTGGTGGCATGCGCCTGTACTCCCCACTACTTGGGTGACTGAGGCAGGAGAATTGCTTGAACCCAGGGGGTGGAGGTTGCAATGAGCCAAGATCGCGCCACTGCACTCCAGCCTGGCGACAGAGCAAGACTCCATCTCAAACAAAACAAAACGAAAACAAAAAGGGGGCAGGGTGGGGGATGAGTACAAACAGGATGGGAGATATTTAAAAAAAAAAAAAACCAGAGATCTGGCCATAGAAGAAACAAGAACTTCTATTTCTCAGAACTTGTCTAAAGAGAGGAGGTATGCAGAGCACATTCTTTTTGTTCAAGAATAAAGACTATACAATTAGTCTGAACTTCTGTTATATTTCTTAATTAGGACATGGAAAGGAATATAGGGTAAGGTCAATAAGACTCACTGCTATGATCTCAATGAAAAATTCTAGGGCTGGGCGTGGTGGCTCACACCTGTAATCCCAGCACTTTGGGAAGCCAAGACAGGCAGATCACGAGGTAAGGAGTTCAAGACCAGCCTGGCTAACACAGTGAAACCCCGTCTCTACTAAAAATACAAAAAATTAGCCAGGCGTGGTGGCGGGCACCTGTGGTACCAGCTACTCAGGAGGCTGAGGCAGGAGAATGGCGTGAACCCGGGAGGCGGAGCTTGCAGTGAGCCGAGATCCCACCACTGCACTCTTGCTTGGGCGACAGAGTGAGACTCCGTCTTTAAAAAAAAAAAAAAAAAAAGGAAAAAAGAAAAATTCTAAAAAATATTAATTTCATTACCTAATACACTAATGATATTATAATTTTTAGAAATTAACCCAGCCTGGGCAATATAGTGAGACCCCGACTCTACAAAAAATAAAAACAGTTGGCCAGGTGCAGTGGCGTGCGCTTGTAGCACCAGGTACTTGGGAGGATGAGGTGGGAGGATCATTCAGTTGAGGAATTCGAGGTTGCAGTGAGCTAGGAAAGCACCACTGCACTCCAGCCTAGGTGATACAGCGAGACACACCGTTTCAAGAAATTAAGCTCAAAACTTACGTGTTCTAAGACCTTTTCTAGGTCTCATCTGCTAACATGAAAATGGTTCAATTAACTAATACATATTTCAACATGACTGTCATCAACATAAATCCTCAGAAATTATTGCCTTCTCAGAACGATGCTTTTGCCTATAGACTAGCCTGAAAGGCTAAATATCTTCATGACTTTTCCAAGTAATTCTCACTCCAAAATTTAAAAGATATGTAAATGAAATAAGCCTTCCCCGAAAGTGTGATCAATTTGTGCTTAAAAAGGTTTAAATGTGGGTCTGTACACTGGGCTGTATTTTGAATCTTACCATAAATTATCACCCTTTGTGATGTGTGCTCTTATTTTATAGGTTTGCACTGGCAAAGTTAAAATACAAATGGCTGTTTCCATCTAGAAACAAAGTAAAATTTATTTACACAAAATTTACAGTAAGCTTCTATAATGCTGATACCATGGTTCCAGGAAGTTAATGCTGATGCCACAGTTACAAGAGGTCTAGAGTGTTAGGCTACTAAGATATTTGGTTAACAGAAACAGAACAGTATGCTGCCTTAGGCTGCACCTTCCCAGAAGCAGACCCCAAGACAAAGATTAGAGGAAAAGTAGTTTATTTGGGAGCAAATCTCACAAAGCTATAGTAGGGGACAGAAGAAGTGAGACACAGAAGGGAAGGAAGCCTTACAGGTACATTTATGAGCAGGTTACAGCTGTGGGTACTGGGCTCTGGAAGACTAAATAGAACATGCTTCAGAGTTGTCCTACTTGAGGAAGCTGTCATATTTATCTACCAACTCTTACACATCACTGAGGGCTGCTCCCAGAGCCGTGAACTCAACACCAGCCTGTCTCACCTGAGTTGGGCAAGCTCCTATGGCCAGGAGCTACTTGTTGCAGGAAGCTATAGGTATATATAAAAAGAGGAGATTTACTTTTACAGAATTTATTACCTATGCACTTGATTAAATTAGAGCATTAAAAAAGACAACCCTTGGCTGGGCGCAGTGGCTCACCTGAGGTCAGGAGTTCAAGACCAGCCTGGCCAACATAGTGAAATCCCGCCTCTACTAAAAATACAAAAATTAGCTGGGCATGGTGGTGCGTGCCTGTAATCCCAGCTACTTGGGAGGCTGAGGCAGGAGAATTGCTTAAACCCAGGAGGTAGAGGTTGCAGTGAGCCAAGATCGTACACTGCACTCTAGGCTGGGTGACAGAGCGAGACTCCTCCTCCTCCTCAAAAAAAAAAAAAAAAAAAAGACAGCTCTTGGTAATTGTTGTTGAAGCACAGCTTAACACAATATAATACAGGTACAATTAGGTACTGATCTTCTCAGTCACCTGTACCTATTCTGACCTTAGAGTTAGTGAAGCTTAAATATTAAATCACCCTAAATTTAGAAAGTCAAACCTCTGCTAGGATATTAAACTTCAATCCAGATAGGCATCAAATGAGTTAACAGCTATCTTATTCAGCTGCCTGTCTACCCTGACATCAGCATTAGAAATCTACTTCTGGGCAAGATGCAGTGGCTCACGCCTGTAATCCCAGAAATTTGGGAGGCCGAGGCGGGTGGATCACCTGAGGTCAGGAGATTGAGACCAGCCTGACCAACATGAAGAAACCCCGGCTGCACTAAAAATAGAGAATTAGCTGGGCGTGGTGGTACATGCCTGTAATCCCAGCTACTTGGGAGGCCGAGGCAGGAGAATCACTTGAACCCAGGAGCCAGAGGTTGCAAAGAGGCGCGATCACGCCATTGCACCTCTAGCCTGGGCAATAAGAGCAAAACTCCGTCTCAAAAACCAATCAATCAATCAATCAATCTACTTCTGCTTGGCTATTTATATTCCAAAACACCTGCCATTCTCTCTAGTTATAATTTTTAGAAATTAACCCAGCCTGGGCTGAGAAGTGGAGGTTGCAGTTAGCTGAGATCATGTCACTGCACTCCAGTCTGGGTGATGGAGTGAGACTATCCCAAAAAATAAAAATTATTATTATTATTAATTTTAATTCTTTCCTAAAACTGCTGTTTGATAATTCCTAGATATATCTCATGTTACCTTTAAAGGAAAAATAACAATAACCATGTTGCCATATACTCTACATACTATCCTTTATCAACTCAGAATAGCTCTCTCTGTTTACTACCCCAAGAAGGAGGCTTCTATTTCTATTCACTACCATCAGTCTCCCTTTGCATCTACATATACTTGGTCCTTATTTAATACCAGAGCAACTTGCACATGTTTTAAAGATGTGAAGTTTTAAGTCTATAAACATGTTGGAATCTCACCTGAATCTTAAGCACTCCAACCACCTGGGCTGTAGGTGGTGTGATGGTGAACTTCCACTCTGATCTCCAACGACCATTCCTATTAAAACACACACACACAACATTGCAGAATTAGCAATAAGCACAAGAAAGAAGTGATTTGCCACTGAGATACAGAAGTTGGGAAAGAGGGGTGCAAAAAAAGAAAAAAAAAAAAGAGAGAAACTGTCATTTCCAGTTTGGCAAACCCAAAGCTCTGTTTACTCAAATAAAAGTGTGAATCTAAGTGGCCTGACCATAAGCCTTTTCTAAGTTATTTTGACTTTCATTTTTCCTTTTTTCCCTCGAAATGGAAAACCATGCCTATTCTGCTCATGGGAGGCTCTTCCAAAATCAGATGAATAGGCTGCTGAGTTATGCAATTAACTCAAGTAGCATTAACCCTAAGCCAAGTAAAACTCAGATTTTCAACAGGGCACTTTACTAATCACTTGTTCTCACTCAAAGTAAGAGTAACTTTTAAAGGAAAATATAATTATAAAACCCAGAACTGTAAGGAATCTTAATCTCTCATTTACAGATAGAAAACTGAAGTCTGTAAGTTAAGTAATTATTCCAAGCTAGTTGGATTAAAAACCAAGTCTCAACTGCTGGTTTCTTTCGGATATAAATTAGATACAAATAGAAGAGAATATCTATTTCTTACCAGAAGTTTTTAGGCTGAAACTGGTGGCTTTCAATACATGCAATAATAGTCTGTTGCCCATCGATAGTTTTAGCATAAACCTATTATTGGGAAAACAAAAATAGTTAAATAGACTCCAAACACATTTAATTTAAACAACACGCATTGTACAAAAGTGGCGTGTTAAATCCTTGGGGGAGACAAAGAATCAGATAAAATGAGCTTACAACACAATAGTGCACATGGGATATGAAAACAAGGCAGAACATGTTAGGTTCTACCAAAGACATGATACAACGAAAACAGAGGGAAATACTGCTCTTGGTTTGGGGTACAAGGCGGGTGCCATTTAGGCTGGGTCATACAAGACAGATGAGATTCTGATAAGTGGAGACTGAAAATAAAGGCGAGACAGGAAACTAAGGACTTGTTCAGTGAAAGGCTGATAGTTCTGTCATGTTTGGAGGGTGTGTGTGAAGTGAACTAATGAAAGACAAAACAGGATGGTGGATTTAGGTCATGTAATAGTAGATGTAAAGTAAGAAGTTTAAGACTTTATTCTATAGGCAATAGAGAGACAGCAAAACATGACTAGAACTAATATTGTGGGAGAATAATCAATACTGGTATTCAAGATAAAACGAAGAAAAGCTGAAGCTTGGTTAGCAGGCCACAGGATTAATCTAGGCAACAAGCCAGGGTTGTATTAAAGGGAATGGAAAGGAAGAGCTGCATACAGAATGCAGAAGAACAATCAAAGTCTAGCAGAATATTGCAAATGACAGGCAAAGGAAAGAAGGAACTAAAGGGTGACTAAAAAGATGGTGGTGTCATTAACAAACTGGGAACTACAGATGGAGATATCTAGTTAGTAGTTAGAAACACTAACTCTTTCTTAGTGTGGGAGAGGTGAATGGAAATGCAATCACCAAGGGAAAGTAAGAAAAAAAAAGTGCTTTATAGTCCACAAAATATGTTTCTACATGTATTTTCTTTTTCCTCCAATAAATCTGATGAAATACATTGTTATCATCTAAAGATGAGAAGTTGAAGTTCACAAAGCTTCTTGCCTAAGGTGACTCAGAAAGTGGTAAAGCTAGAATCCAAAGGTAGAATCCCCACTGTTTTTGTGACACCGAAGTCTATGTTACTTTACCTGCATTAAATGAACTATGAACTTTGGGGAATGCCTACATTTACAAAGGTAGGGGAAAAAAAGAACTTAGTACAAACAGAGTAAGAATAATTAGGGGGCTGGGTGCAATGGCTCACACCTGTAATCCCAGCACTTTGGGAGGCCGTGGCAGGGGGATCACCTGAGGTCAGGAGTTCAAGACCAGCCTGGCCAACACGGTGGAACCCCGTCTCTACTAAAAATACAAAAATTAGCCAGGTGTGGTGGTGGGTGCCTGTAATCCCAGCTACTCGGGAGGCTGAGGCAGGAAAATTGCATGAACCTGAGAGGCGGAGGTTGTAGTGAGCTGAGATCATGCCACTGTACTCCAGCCTGGGCAAAAAGAGCAAAACTCAAGCCTAAGTAAAAGATAATTTCTAGAAGTAGTTGATTGGCTTCAGTGTGAAATGCCATTCGGAAGTCATAGACAAAGAAAAGGACATTGGACTAGGTAACTCACGAAGCATTAGTAAACTCAGAGCAGTTTCTGTACAATGGGGACTAAAGTAAAAAATCAAAGGGTTCAGAAGTAGAGAGAGGAAATGGCATTAGCAGGGGAAGAATGTGTACTGATTTGGTGGTGATGCAGAGAGAGATGAGAGAAGGGAAAAAGTGGAGAAGAGGGAGAAAGGGCAAAGTGGAAAGGGCAGACAAAGAAGGAGAAACAGGCCGGGCATGGTGGCTCATGCCTTGTAGTACACACACACACGCGCACACACACACACACACACACACACACACACACGCTAGGTATGGTGGCATGCACCTGTGGTCCTAGCTACTTGGGAGGCTGAGGCGAACGGATCATGAGGTCAGGAGTTCAAGATCACTCTGGCCAATATAGTGAAACCCCGTCTCTACTAAAAATATAAAAATTAGCCAGGTGTAGTGGCAGGCGCCTGTAATTCCAGCTACTCGGGAGGCTGAGGCACGAGAATCGCTTTAGCCCAGGAAAGGGAGGTTGCAGGGAGCCTAGACCACACCATTGCACTCCAGCTTGGGAGTTAGATTGTCTCAAAAAAAAAAAAAAAAAAAAGATTTTCTGTCAGTTTCAATCCTTACAAAACATGGGGGATTAGATGCCTGTCAGAGGACAATGAAAAATGTTTGCAACACACTATGTAGAAAATGTGATAGGGAATAATGAGAGGAAATTACGGACTACTAAGCAGGTGAGCTGAAGACATAGTCACAGGACACTTATATACAGCAGACACCATCAGAACAATTCCATGACTTTCTGTAGGTCATTTGATAGCTAAGGACACAGTAGGGTTATTTGGTGCTGGAGCTCTCCAAATTAAGAATGGGTAGTGACAAACTTTGAATGGGTAACAGACAATAAATTCAAAGTATATTTAGGATTAAACAGTCAATTTCTAAATGGGAGTCTATCATGTCTCCCCTTTGCAATACTGGCTTCCCAACAGGAATTCTGTACTTGTTCAGTCCACCATAATGGGTATTCTCATTAAAAAAAAAAAAAAAAATCAAACATAATGACACCTAGCTTAACATTTATCTAACATTTATGTAGAGCTTACTTTGTGCCAGGCACTGTTCCAGGCATATATTACATATATTACTAATTCATTAAATCTTCACAACAACTCTATGAGGTAAAAACAATTATTTCCATTTTACAGTCAAATAATTGAAGCACAGAGATGTTAAGTAATTTACCTAAGGTCATACAACTAATTAATTGGCAGGGCCAGGATTCAAACTAGTTAGTTAGGCTTCAAAGTAAGTGCTCCTAACTGTATTCTAGACTGCCATGTAATTCATCATTGCATATTTAAAATATTCTAGTGAAAATTGCTAGAAGAGATTTTCCCACAACAAAAAAATGATAAATATGTGTACTAATAATCCATGTTATTAGTTCAATACAGCCATTCCACAATGTATACATATTGAAAACATCATGTTGTACATACCATATTTTTATTTGTCAATTTAAAAATAAAAAATATTCGAATCAATATTTTTCTTAATATGCCATCATTTTATAAAGGAAAAATCATGATAAAGTCAAATTTATCTATTTTTACAGTCAAGAGGTAGTAAAAGAAAATCAGGCCAGGCGCAGCAGCTCACACCTGTAACCCCAGCACTTTGGGAGGCCAAGGCAGCCAGATCACCTGATATCAGGAGTTCGAGACCAGCCTGGCCAACACGGTGAAGCCCCGTCTCTAGTGTCTGTACTAAAAATATAAAAATTAGCCAGGTGTGTTGGTGGGCACTTGTAATCCCAGCTACTCAGGAGGCTGAGGCAGAAGAATTGCTTGAACCCAGGAGATGGAGGTTACAGTGAGCCGACAAGGTGCCCCTGCATTCTAGCCTGGGTGACAGAGTGAGACTTTGTCTCAAAAAACAAAACAACAACAAAAAAAAGAAAATCATTTCTGATTTTAAAAAAATCGTTTGGTTTTTTTGTTTTATGTCTTTTTGAGACAGTCTCACTCTGTTGCCCAGATTGGAGTGTAGTGGGGTGGTCTCAGCTCACTGCAACCTCCACCTCCCTTGTTCAAGTGATTCTTGTGCCTCAGCATCCTGAGTAGCTGAGACTACAGGTGTGCACCACCACATCCAATTACTTTTTGTATGTTTTAAGTAGAGACAAAGTTTCACCATGTTGGCCAGGCTGGTCTCGAACTCCTGGCCTCAAGTGATCTGCCCACCTTGGCCTCCCAAAGTGCTGGGATTACAGGCATGAGCCACCGTATCCAGCCAATTGTTTAGTTCTAATAGTTTTGATTACCTAATATAAATATCTAAACTATGTAGAAGTAGCTTTGTGTAAAAATGCCTATATCAAAAAGTCATAAATATGAGCAATAGCTCTCTAAACAATCTTAGTATACCATTTTTTCTCTGTGTCCAAACCAAAGACCTTTTAGATCTGGGTAAAAATACAAACAAGAAAAAAATTAATTTAAAAGGTTAATTTAAAAAAAGAAAGGAAAAAAAAAAAACAAAGACCTTTTCCTGATGGGTGTAAGGCATTTCTCATAAGTCAAATGTGAAAACAGAATACACCGATATCTAAATTTTTTGTGCATTGGGATTTTTTTTTTTTTTTTTTTGTGTAAGGCATTTCTCATAAGTCAAATGTGAAAACAGAATACACCGATATCTAAATTTTTTGTGCATTGGGATTTTTTTTTTGTGTGTTGTGAGACAGAGTCTCGCTCTGTCGCCCAGGCTGGAGTGCAGTGGCCGGATCTCAGCTCACTGCAAGCTCCGCCTCCCGGGTTCACGCCATTCTCCTGCCTCAGCCTCCCGAGTAGCTGGGACTACAGGCGCCCGCCACCTCGCCAGGCTAGATTTTTTGTATTTTTTAGTAGAGACGGGGTTTCATCATGTTAGCCAGGATGGTCTCGATCTCCTGACCTCGTGATCTGCCTGTCTCGGCCTCCCAAAGTGCTGGGATTACAGGCTTGAGCCACTGCGCCCGGCGCATTGGGATTTTAAGAACTTTTCCATATAAAAATTTCCATTTATTTATACCCCTTTCCAAAATGATTTAGGGAATAAAATGCAGAGGAGAAGAGAGCATGACTAAGAAGAAAAAAGGGATGTTTGGTAGGCCAAAGTCTCCAAAGGATAAGGTAAATATAAGAAAACACTCTTTGATAATGAAGCAGATACTTAACAGTACAGAAGCCGTTGGAATAATGGTCTTTCACATAGGCTCTTAAAACACTGTCACAGGATTCTCTCCAAGACTTCAGACCTCCATCTACTTCTTCTGGCTGAGGGTCACTTGCTTCTTTCCGTAAGTGGTCAAATTTAAAGGAAATTTTGTTTCTTGGATCTAAAAATCTGCTATTACCCAGGTCACCGTGCTCTGTAATTAAGACCTTCCAAAGAATGATTAAACATATGAGTAACTTTGTAAAAAAGACAATTCTTACTGCCTTTTGTGAAACACATCAATAACAATTCTGAGGCAGTTAACTTTTCGTCAGATTTCTCTTTCATAATTTTTCAACCAAGTCCCATATTATTAAGAATATTACATTTATGAATAAGTCAACTTTAAACTACAAAATGTCCCCCATATTAATAATATACTTCATTTCTTGGTTTCTAATATATTATCTATATAGTTATTTTATACATAGCTGTGATAACTTTTATGTACACTTTTGTATTTTTTTCACAGATTTTTTCCAGAGTCATTATGAAACTTTAGGGCCATTACACTTAGCATTTATAATAGGTAATACATTCACATGGTTCAAAAATGAAAAAATACATAAAGTAAACTGTTTTCTCACCCCATTTTCCAACCACCAAAATCCTAAAGTAATAAGTAGTCTAAATTTCAGGAGTGCCTCTGTTTTTCCATTAAATATGTCTGCTGTTACTCTTATCAAGGAGAATTAAAGACAGCTGGAAAACCTGTACAACTTAAATACTTCCATTTTCACTGTTCTTGTTAGAGGCTGCTCTCCTTTCTTGTCAAAGAAACTGCTAGTGTTATCAGAAAGAGGAAAAATATCATAACATGTAGAGTACGTACAAAAACTAAAAAAACTAAGACAAATTTACTCAGCACCTGGTTCAGACATCTGCTTTGGTTTCTATTAATAGGATTTCTACTATCTCCCAGGCATAGCCTTCTAAAAGGCAATTATTACCTGATCTTCATATCCTTCTATCTTCACAGGCGTGAACTGATCCATGTTATACTGGGCAAATGCACTGTTTTTTTAAAAAGTTTTTTTTTTTTTTTTAAAAAAAAAAAAAAAAGGAGGGAGAGAGAAAAGAATTATGTGTAAATAAACACAAAGGTGGTTCACAGAATAGTTAAAGGAAATGTGAAAACAGTACCCGGTACTTTTCCCCTTTCTCCCCAGACATCCAGTGTTAACATAATGCCTTCCAGCTTTCTGAAGGGACTCCTCTCCATGGAGATCTTGGAAGCTCCTTAAACTCTGAAATTACCTTTTCCTCTTTGCTCCTAAGCTCCAAAAGACCCTCTACTTAGACAATTCCAAAGTTGGTTTGTTTTGAGATAGTCTCACTATGTTGCCAGGCTGGCCTCAAACACCCGGGCTCAAGAGATTTTCCCATCTGTTTCCTAAGTAGCTGGGACTACAGGTGCGCACCACCACACTCAGCTAATTCCAAAGTTTGAAGCAATCTGATTATTGTGAACTGCCAACAATTTTAATCGTTTGGGCAGAAGCTTTCATTAATTCAAAAGAATTTTCCATTGATACACTATTTTGGAAATGATTTTTTTTTTCTCGGCTCTCAAAGTCACAAGAAACTATAATTAAATGTCAGAAGGCATCTGACATGCGAAGAAGGTGAAGTGAGAGTTGAGCATGAGTCAAGTATAAAAGCAGAGCCTCAGGCACAGAGTAGTTATTTTTAAAAGAGGAATGCATAAATAATCAAAGTACATGCCTAATATTACTGTTTATTTGTCCAAAGCTTGATTTTTGAAATTCTGCATTTTTAATGGCTCTCTAATACATTTTACAAAGCTAAAGCAAAAAACAAGATAAAAGAAAGATGGAAATAAGAGTTACACTTATATTCTTGAAAAGTATCTGTCTTCTCACAGCATTCCCAATTTTAACCTATTAAAATAGACGGCTAGTATTTTTTTCCCATGTCAGACAGGTAATGTGCCAACATAACAAGGTTTGAGGGAGGCACATCTCACATGCATGTGAAAACTCAACCATCACACTGAACTACAAAAGGATGGAGACCACTAGTTTCAAGCAGAGTGTTAAACTTGCCCTAGGCTTTTCAAGATAAAGCAAAATAACAAAATGTCAACTTCTTCAAATATTTAAAGCTTTTTTTTTTTTTTTTTCCAGATGCCAGGCTGGAGTGCAACGGCGTGATCTTGGTTCATTGCAACCTCCACTTCCCCGGTTCAAGCGATTCTCCTGCCTCAGCTGGATCATCTACTCAGCTAATCCTGAGTAGCTGGGATTACAGGCATGTGCCATCACGCCCGGCTAATTTCTGTATATTTAGTAGAGACAGGGTTTCTCCATGTTAGTCAGGCTGGTCTCGAACTCCCAACCTCAGGTGATCCGCCTGCCTCAGCCTCCCAAAGTGCTGGGATTACAGGAGTGAGCCACCGTGCCCAGCCTCTAAAGCTAATTTTCAATCTTATTTTGTTAAAAGTTATTACTGTCTATCTTGTTTGTTTATTTATTTTTTTTTTGGGCAGGGGATAGAGTTTCACTGTTGCCCAGGCTAGAGTGCTGTGGTGCAATCTTGGCTCACTGCAACCACCACCTTTCAGATTCAAGTGATTCTCCTGCCTCAGCCTCAAAAGTTATTACTGTGTTTTACTTTTTTTTTTTTTTTTTTTTGAGACAGAGTCTCGCTTAGTCGCCCAGGCTGGAGTGCAGTGGCGCGATCTCGGCTCACTGCAAGCTCCGCCTCCCGGGTTCACGCCATTCTCCTGCCTCAGACTCCCGAGTAGCTGGGACTACAGGCGCCCGCCGCCTCACCCGGCTAATTTTTTGCATTTTTAGTAGAGACAGGGTTTCACCGTGTTAGCCAGGATGGTCTCGATCTCCTGACCTCGTGATCCGCCCGCCTCGGCCTCCCAAAGTGCTGGGATTACAGGTGTGAGCCACCGCGCCCGGCCGTGTTTTACTTCTTAAAGCACTACATCCCCATGTAGCAAAATTAATCCCAAACATATTGGCTCTTCAGAAAGGATATAAATTATTCATAAAAAGTAGAATAACTAATAGTTTAAAAAAAAAAAACGAGTAGGAAGTAAATATTTTATTCTAGTATATGTCCTAAGACTATGGATTACAAACACTAACACGAAAATGTCCTTACCTTTAATTCCATCTCAAGTAAACAGGATCTCCATTTTATCAGCTGCCTAAGCCAAAAACTTGGGGTGATCTTTGATTCTTCTCTTTCTCTCACACTTCACATCCAGTCCATCAGTAAATCTTGTAGGCCCTACTTAAGTACATATTCAGAATCTGACTCCTTCCCACCACCCCCACTGCTACCACTCTAGTCCAACCACTAGCATCTATCCCTGAACTATTCTAATAGTCTTGCAATTACTCATCTTACCTCAGCTTTTGCCCCTCTACACAGGAGCTAGTGATTATTCTAAAATATAAGTCTCATTATGTTATTCTCTGCTCAAAACAATCTCACTATCTCTGTCAGAATGAAATTCACTCTTTAACGTAACTTACAACACCCTACTCATTCCAGAAGCTCTGGAATTATCTGGGGATGGTTCTGGTGGCCAGAAACAGGAGCAAATCCAGGAAAGATAGCAAATCTTAGCTACTTCAAGACCTTCATTTTATAAAGACTGAAGGCAATAATTATGATAATGATTATGAAAACATTAATTGAGCAGTTACTATGAGGACTATGGCCAAGGGACTGAAATGCTTTAATACAGAAATAAGACTGAATTTTTCTTCTCTATAGAAAATCAAATATTTGGGTCTTCTCTATGGAAAATCAAATATTTAAAATTCTCTTAACAAGAGGGTTCCCCAAGAACCTATAGTCTATAAGAACCAGAATATTTATAAATACAAAGCTTTAGTGTCAGTGCAATTAAAGCAAATGAAGTATCTGAACTACATACCAACTTCTCTTAATCTTAACCAAAAGGCGGAGAAGCTACATACCAGCTTCTCTTTGGTTCTAATTGGAAATAGGATAACAGGCTTTAGTTTGCAATCACACTCGGGTGATATTCAACATCCACCCCTTTCAGCTTATCAAGTGATGTACAGAGCAGATTTATTGTGGGTAGCTCTCAAGGATAAAACTGGGACCAGTATGGCAGGCAAACTGAAGAACTTGCCTTGTGAGATTGTGAATTCCTTATTACTAGAAGCATTCAGATTAGATAACTGTCTATTGACAGATGTTGATGAAATTCTTTCAGTGAAAGAAAGCAGAGAGGAGTTAAACTAGCAAATGATGAATGTCCTTTTGTATGGCAGATTCTATGAATCTAAGAGAAACCATCATTAGAGTATATCTGATGTGAGCCTAGCTTCCTTAAATCAATGTATAATTAGGGTATCATTCATGATGACAATTACAGTAAAGCTATGCAAATTCTGTTTGCAGAATCTAGCCCCAAAATGAGTTCCAAAAAAGCAGTATGGACAGGGCAGATTGTTTCCCAGGCAGCAGCTCTTACAACAGTTTTCTATGGCTAAAATCTAAACCAATTATATATCATACCCAATGACTTTTTGATAATTATTTGTTGCTCTGCATCAACATGTCCTTGTTCTGTCTCCCCATCCCTACCCCACCTAGCCATTATCCAACTCTTTACAAAGGAACTCTGAGCCAGTTGGGTAGACAGCAACTGAAACAGAACTTTGTGTTGAAGAGTAGAGTAGTGATAAAGCCAGACAACAGGGAGCGTTGAAAGCTACAGCAAGTTTAGATTTTATTATAGAAGGTATCAAAAAAAAAAAAAAGAGGCACCATTTTAGTAGTTTTGAAGGCAAGGACACAATGGAAATATTTTAGAAAGATTAATTAGCTTCAGAGTGATAAGGAGTCAATGATTAGGTAACCTAATCATGCTTTTATCCTATGGTTAATTCTCACTATTAAGGCACTTTATTAATATTTGCTATTCTTAAACATTATCATTCCTCACTGGCAGATCATTCCTATGTATAGCTAGCTGTTTAAAAAAACTCAACATGAACTAGAACAACTGTAAAGGAAAACCTAACAGCTAACATTAAACTCTGCTTTAATGGGGCAAATGTGGGCAGAAATAAAAACTAGTTCATATATTATAATAAGCTTTGAGGAAGTAAATAACAATTGGGGGAACATGTTTTTTCCAATTAAAAAAAACAACGAAAATTGCTAAACCCAACTGCTTTACTTTGAAGTATTTTAAACTTTGTTTTCAGGGTGCTAGTTCACTGTCAACATAGTTTATCCAATGTTAGAATAACATTCTAAGTGGATTTGGAAAGATACTTACTGTGCTGCCCCTTCCCTGAGGAGATTGTCATTATTAAGTAGTAGCCGAACATCTGAGGAAGAAAAATGTTACAATGTTCAGTGGAGGATAAATTTGAGAAATTTTAGCAGATTTCTAGATGCAATTTTTAAAATTCAGGCTTTGTAAGATTGGTCTTCAGGTGTACTATATGAGTAGAAATTCTAAACATGCAAATATAAAGATGCTAATGTTCACAGATTTGTGTACAATTATGTGTGCTATATAGTCTCAAGGAACTTCATAGCAAATGAGTAACATGGTTTATAGAAAGCCACAGTTAAAGAGTGCTAATTCTGTATTTAAATGAATCCTTTAATATGAGCATAGATTAAGAATTGCAGGCTCTTCTACAATATCATATCAAGAAAGCTAGGCACAATTCAGCCAGTGACAGTGAAATTCTTAAAACACATTTTTCATTGTAGAATCTAATGTGAGGTCTACAACCTTTTTAAAAAGCTGTGTGTCAGAAGTCTAGTCACTTTTTTTTTGGAGACGAAGTCTCGCTCTTGTCGCCCAGCCTGGAGTGCAATGGCGCAATCTCAGCTCACTCCAACCTCCACCTCCCCGGTTCAAGAGATTCTCCCGCCTCAGCCTCCTGAGTAGCTGGGATTACAGGCGCCTGCCACCACGCTCAGCTAACTTTTGTATTTTTAGTAAAGACGGGACTTCATCATGTTGGTCAGGTTGGTCTTGAACTCCTGACCTAAGGCGATCTGCCCACCTCAGCCTCCCAAAGTGCTGGGATTCCAGGTGTCAGCCACCACACCTGGCCTGTTAGTCAAGAATTTATCTGAGCTAAAGTTCAAGAAGAATTTTCTACTGAAAATTGAAAATTTTGGCTGGGCGCGGTGGCTCACGCCTGTAATCCTAGCACTTTGGGAAGCTGAGGCGGGAGGATCACGAGGTCAAGAGATTGAGACCATTCTGGCCAACATGGTGAAACCCCATCTCTTCTAAAAATACAGAAAAATTAGTGGAGCGTGGGGGCGAGCACCTGTAGTTCCAGCTACTTGGGAGGCAGGGGTTCCAGTGAGCCGAGATCACGCCACTGCACTCCAGACTGGCGACAGAGCAAGACTCTGTCAAAATAATAATAATAATAAAAAGAAAAAGAAAATTTCAACAGGAAAATTTATTTAAAATGTTACTAAGAATTTAGTCAATGTAAAAGACTAGAAAAAGGCTGCATGGCTGCATTTGTTTCCTTTGCTGTTGGTGCTCAAAAGCCACAAACGGTTTTATAAAAAATATCTTGATTTACTTCTGTTATATCTTATACTCCTTGAAGCAAATGTTTATGTTTCTCCCAGTTACTTTTCCCAATTTTAGCAATCAAGATTATTATTGACTGTTCTACCATCTGGACCAGGTAGAGGAATATCATACAGTTACTCTCGAGTAGCTAACTTTCTAATATAAAATTAGAATCTCAAAATAAATGTTTGCTAAACTGAACCAAGATGTACAACAATTATTATTTTACTTAAGGAATCTTTAAGATGAACTTAATAACTTAAAATGGGATTATGGTTATTTCATCACGAAGTTTAAGATGCTCCATCACATTTTCCATCTTGTAAAATGTATTAAGACAGCAGATAGTATGGAAAGTTGTAAATGTATTTAACTGTGGTTCCCCAACCTGCTGCGATTCAGAATCACCTGGTAAAGAACTTGATGAAATACAGATTAACCAGTTCCACCTCAGATCTAATGAATGCGAATCTTGAGGGGAAGATAAAGCTGAATCTGCATATTTAACAAGCTCCCCAGATATAGTCAGTTCAGCCCCACTGTCCCAAAAAAGTGTTCCATAACATGTGACTTCCTAAGGCAAAGCACTAAAGAAAATTAAGCTATGATCTATAAGGAAAAAATAGAACTATGAAAATAATTTAATATTTTCTACATTTATTGATACTAATCTGCCTTAAAATCTTTTCTCACATAAGACAGGCATCCTAATTTATGGGTTAGGAGCTTTATTTTGACTCAGACCTGGGTTTGAATTCTTGCTTTGACATTTACTAACTGGAGGACCTTGGACAAGTTATTTTAATTTCTTCGAATCTTGATTTACTTAGCTATAGCTACAACAAGTCATAAGAATTAAAACAGATAGCAAGTACTCAATAAATAATAGTAATTAAGGAGGGATTAAAATACTAATCTTTACTCACCATTGAATACTTCATTAAATTCCCCTGGGGGTGCATGAGTGATGAATTTAGCAGCTATGCGTACCTAAAGAGAAACAAAATTTACACTTAGAATTATGAAGAGTAACATATAAAAGGAGAAACAATTAACAAATTACAAAATTTTCATCACATCCCTTGAAAAAAATGTCCTGTTTAAACATTTACTGTTTAGCAGCCTTCAAATTTTCTTTTCATAAAGCACCCCAAAGCTGTTACTATCAATATAGGTACATTCTGATTTGGGAATATATGTGTTTTGATAAATCTGAATTTGTCTTTCAAAAACAGGATAATAGTTTTTGACCAAATACCTTACATTCACAAAAAGAGAAAGCTATGATCTAGATTATGAACATTTAAGCAAAACTAAATAAAATATTAGCAAATTATAGAATACCAATACCAATTCTCCCAATACAAGGATGGTTCAATATAATAAGTTACTGTAACTTACAAATTAAAAGACCAAAACCATGTGATCATCTCAACTCATGCTGAAAAAAAAATTAACACCTACTCCAATATCATAAAAAACCAAAACTATTAGTTTTTGGTAGATATAAAATAAATGCCTTTAACTTAATAAAGGGCTATCTACCAAAATTTTACAAAAACCTTAATAATGAAACATAAGCAATGTCACTAACTTTATTAACTAATTAATTTATTTTGAGATAGGGTCTTGGCTGTTGTCCAGGCTGGAGTGCAGTGGCATGATCAAGGCTTACTGCAGCCTCAACCTCCTGGGCTCAAGCGATCTTCCAGCCTCAGCCTCCTGAGTAGCTGGGGCCACAGGCATGTGCCACCACACCTAATTTTGTAATTTTTATTTTTATAGAGACAAGTCTCACCATGTCCAGGCTGGTCTCAAACTCTTAGGTTCAAGTGATCCTCTGGCCTCGGCCTTCCAAAGTGTTGGGGTTATAGGTGTGAGCCACTGTGCCTGCCCTAAGTCATCAACTTTAATACAAGACAAAGATGACTCCTATCACCTCTACTATTCACCACTGTATTAAAGGGCATAAGGAATGCTATGGAAAATATTCCTTCTGTTACTCAACCTAGTCTCTGTCCTCTGCCCCCTGTTGCCATTCTCCCTTTTTAGATATACTATTATAAATGGATGATAAAATGTTAGGTTCTAACCTGCTTATCTAATTGTTTTTCTCTAGATTTTATCTTTTTTGTCATTTTATGCTTTGTCTGGGGAAAATGCTTGACTCCAATCCACTAATATGCTCTTCATCTGTGCCCATTTTCCTGCTCAATTTTTTTTTTTAAGAGACAGGGTCTCGCTATATCGCCCAGGTTGGAGTACAGTGGCGTGATCATAGCTCATTGCAGCCTCCAACTCCTGACCTCAGGAATCTTTCCAAATCAGCCTCCTGAGTAGCCGGGAGTACGGGCACTCGTCACCAGGCCCAGCATAACAATTATTTTGACTGTTCAATTTTTAATTTCTAAGATTTTTGGTAATTCCTTTTGTCATTTTTTTTTGGGGGGGGTACTGGCAAGTATGTAGAGCAAAGCAATTTCTTTTAGTGTGTATACAATCATCTGTATTAGGACATTAACTCCTTATTTAATTTTTTAGGTGTTTTTTTCTCAGAGACAGGGTCTCACTTGGTTGCTCAGGCTAGAGTGCAGCAGTGTGATCACAGTTCACTGTAACCTTAAACTCCTGGGCTCAAGTGATCCTCCTGCCTCAAGTTCTCAAGTAGCTAAGACTACAGGTGTGCCTCACCATGCCTGGCTAATTTTTTAAAAATTTTAATTTCCTGCAGAGAGAGGGTCTCACTATGTTGCCCAGGCTGTTCTCAAACTCCTGGCCTCAAGTGATCCTCCCAACTCAGCCTCCCAAAGCACTGAAATTACAGGTGTGAGCCAGTGTGCCAGTATAACTACCCATTTTAAAGTCTTGTTCTATTGACTGTTTCCTAAAAATTTAGATCCTCTCTTCATTGAATTTGATTCTTCCCTTTCGTGGTACTGGTTTTCCATAAATGGTGCTATGAATTTAATTTAGTTTGCCATTCTGTTTGCTGGTAGCTTGTCTCTAGTGACTACAGGGGAGGGAAAGAGTAGATTTGCTTCTGCTCATCAGGGTGTGTGAGCAGTTTATCTTCTGAGTGAGCCTAAGGTCCACAGGCTAGGTGGGACACTGCTGTGTTTCTATGGTCCCAGTGCTCATGCTCAGTGCTATATTCTGAGGACAAATGCTGTTTTTGTCTTCAGCTTAGCCCAAAGAGGAGAGAAGGGAGGAGCTAAGTGGTCCAACTAACTAGACAGCAATTCTCCAGTTAATCTACTCTAAGACTGTTCTGGGTCCCTTCCTTCTTGATTCTTAAACTGATGTAAGATCCTCCAGAATGGTTCCTATCTATCTGGCATTTGGCAATACCAATATATAGATATTTGGCAGTATCTATACATAGTAATAATGCTAGTAATGATAATAAATAGGGCTCACCACAAATGAGTCTCTCAGTATAGTTCTAACATACCATGAAAGAAAGGATGAAAATTCCCTAATATTTGATGTGATAACGAATATGAAGATGATTCAACTCCCTAATGTAGGGCAAAGAAGAACATGGTATATCTAACAATAAACTGAGCCTTATTTCTAGATAGGCATCCTCTGTTGACTTCTTTATTTCCTTCAAACAATTTTAAGTTATTAATGACCCCATCAAATTCAAACCATTCTTCAGCATAAAAAACAAAAAACAAAACAAAAAAACTTTCCAGAGTCTCTTGAAAATAAAGCTGGGGCCAGGTGTGGTGGCTCCTGACTGTAATCCCAGCACTTTGGGAGGCTGAGGTGGGTGGATCACTTGAGGTTAGGAGTTCAAGACCAGTCTGGACAACATGGCGAAACCCCATCTCTACCAAAAATACAAGAATTAGCTGGATGTGGTGGTGGGTGCCTGTAATCCCAGCTACTTGGGAAGCTGAGGCAGGAGAATCACCTGAACCCGGAAGGTGGAGGTTGTAGTGAACTAAGATTGTACTCCAGCCTGGGCAACTGTAGGAGACTCTGTCTTAAAAAAAAAAAAAAAAAAAAAAAAAGAAAGAAAAGAAAGAAAGCTGGGAGTGAGAAGAGAATTAGAAAAAAACCCCAGAAATTTGGGTTGAGTGTGGTAGTTCATGCCTGTAATCCCAGCAATTTGGGAGGCTGAGGCAGGCAGATCATTTGAGGTCAGGAGTTTGAGACTAACCTGGCCAACATGGTGAAACCCTGTTTCTACTAAAAATACAAAACTTAGCTGGCATGGTGGCGCACACCTGTAATCCCAGCTACCTGAGAGGTTGAGGCAGGAGAATCTCTTGAATCCAGGAGGTGGAGTCTGCAGTGAGCCAAGATCCTGCCACTGCACTCCAGCTTGGGTGACAGAGTGAGACTGTCTCAAAAAAGAAAATAAACAAAACAGAAATGCTTTACAACTTTAGTATCCCTAGGCTTATACAAATAATCTTACTGTAAGTTCACTCTTATTCTGAAAAGGACAAAGAAAAGCTGCTCTGTGATGAAACCGTTAGTCAAGAAAGGCCTAGTGATTGATGGAGCAAGGTAGAATGCAAAATTCGGGTTCCAATAACTGTCTCTGTTGGTCCATCAGCTAACTAGATTTGTGATCCTAGAAACATTACTGTTTTCGGTCCTGAGTTTTGTCATTATAACCCAGCTCCTCATAGAGTCACATTAGAAGATCTACAAAATTTCTTTTAGCTGCAAAATCCTACAAAGTTTTTAAGACTTGGAGGACAAAAGTTGGTATGTGGACTACCTGGAAACAGGCATCAGGAATTTATGCCACAAAATACATGTTAGACTATTCTTAGGTACATAAAGTGTTAGAACCCTGACTTGACAGGGTAATTACAGATAGTATATTATTTTTTCTGGGATGAAAACTGGTGGAGGGGAAATGCTCCATAAGGCTCCTTATATTAACTGAGAAAAAACAATAAAAAGAGGGATTCTAATCAGGAAGAAATCCTGCTCAACTCATGAAAATTATGCTACATAGGACTAACCATTACAATATACATTTCTAACTATCTATATTTTCTTTGGCATGTACACTTAATCACATTTCTGTACTTCTCAACTGTTGGTATCAATCTCTTATTTAAAAAATCAGTAATCCTACTTTTAATAATAAACCTTTTTTTTTTTTTGGTCTATTTGTGACAAATCGGTGGAGTGAGCTATGGTCTATCCCCCTTCTGTCAAGGTGCATTTCCCATAATCTTTACATAAGTATGAAACTCCTCAGTCAAGTAAAGTGTATGTAATCCAAAAACTAAAAGTATATACATATTCATACACTATCAAAAAAGTACCTTCCCTGAAAGGAAAAAGGAATAAAGCCACAGTCATATTTTACATACTACTTATATAACATAATATTTGAATGTATAATAAAATTACCAAACTGAAAATTTAAGATATTAATATTCCTGAAGTCCCAACCAAATTTTCAGAAGTTACAAAATCTGATGGAATTGGTACAACTGAAAGAACAGCAGTTTGTTTGGATAGAAGATGAACTGATACTGCATATAAAAAAGTAATAATTCACCCATTCAGCAAACTAGGAAGAGAAGTATCAATAAATAAAGACTGAAGACTAGATAAGACATTGTCACTATCCTCAAGGACCTGACGCCTAGATAGTAATGTAGCAAGTAGGTATTAAATGCAGACTGAGGCACAAAGGAAGATGCAATCAACTCTGTATACCTACATTAAAAAGGGGGTGGTCGGCCAGGCGTGGTGGCTCAGGCCTATAATCCCAGCACTTTGGGAGGCCGAGGTGGGCGGATCACGAGGTCAGGAGTTCAAGACCAGCCTGGCCAAGATGGTGAAATCCCATCTCTACTAAAAAAAAATACAAAAATTAGCCAGGCACAGTGGCAGGCAACTGTAATCACAGCTACTCGGGAGGCTGAGGCAGGAGAATCGCTTGAACCCAGGTAGCGGAGGTCGTAGTGAGCCAAGATTGTGCCACTGCACTCCAGCCTGGGCGATAAGAG